TGTAAGACCTCAACAACCATGAAAATACTGTAAGACATGAAAAGGCATGAAACTTTTGTAAGACCCTACTACAGGCATAAACTCAATCTCGATGTTTAGGCTATATATTGCATTTGTAAGACTCCCGAAAGGGCATACCCTCGATATAGACGCCTAAACTACCACACTCTAGATCAAAAATGGATCTGGCCAAACACAAATGACTACGGTCAATACGGCTGCACCATCCAAATTAACGCGACTCGGGGACGCCCAACTGTCCCTATAAATTCACAGGCCATTACTTCGAATCTTTTTCGAAAAGAACCAGGTAAACAGGCTACCCTTGACAGGAAAAAGAGCTTCGACCATGTCAGCTCCGAATCACAAGGCTTCGAGCTACTCAACCTACGAGCTAAACCTTCCGAGGTGCTTGAGCTATCGTCGCAAATGACTTGAAATCGAGGTTCATCCCAAACCGATGATAGGTCAGGCAAAATCATTTCAAAAAGTCCTTAACGAGAGGAAAACAAAGCCTACATATGCCTATGGGCAAAGCGTAAAAGCCATTGTCGCCAACCTAACGAGCCTCAAGGCCATACACATTAAAAGGTTACATCGACCAAAAGCGTAAAAGCCACTATTGCCAGCTTAAAAATTTGAAAGCTTGAGGGTCAAAATGAGCTCGAGTCATAACCCGATTCGGAGACTGAATCCAAAATAGTTAACTATACATGCCTAAGGGCATAGCGTAAGAGCCATCGTCACCAGCTTCGTGAGCCTCAAGGCCATATACATAAAAGGTCGCTTCGACCCAAGGCGTGACAGTCGTTGTCGCTAGCCCACAAAAATACAGAACTTGAGGGTCGAATGGGCTCGAGTCGAAGCCCGACTTGGAGACTAAACCCAAAACAGTTGAGCAAAAGCATAAGAGCTCTAACGCCAGCTTACACTAAAGGCCGTATCGACCGAATGCGCAAGAGCCCTCGGGCCTGCCTGACGAGCCCCAGGGCCGTATCACGAATCTAAAGATTCTTGCCAACTCTAAAAGCAGGAGCACCCGGCAGAATTCTGGACAAAAAAGGGGAGTAGGAGGAACAAAGCCACAGGGCTTACTTTATACATATGCCAGTATGAAAGCACTATATATACCAACAAGAAAATCAACAGGATCCTAATTTATTGCCAAGCCCACATTCTCAATGGCTCCCCAAGGGTTGCACCCTGAGACCTACGAGTCCCCCGACGGCCCCTTCTCAACGACATCTTCTCTCTCCGGGGATCTGCCCTCATTTTTAGCACCACCCACCTCCAACGAACTGCTTTTGGGAAACCACCCAGGCACGATCCACAGCTCGAGGTAAATTCGGGCTAGCCCCCTCAGACGCCCTCTCAACGCAAGCATTTGCGACAATAGCTTCCTTCCCGTGTGAGGATACGAGTGCCTCGGTTTCGGCTTTAATTCGAGATAGTGCAGCCACCAGTTCAGAATGGAGACCTCTGTATTTGTCACTATCCTCCTTCGCATCTCGTAGCTGACGCTCGACTAAGGTTACCTTCCCTTGGAGGGTGTCCCTCTCGAAAGTTATTTCGTTTGTGCACCGACTGAGCTCGGAAATTTCAGCATCTCTGGCCCAAAGCTCCCCCCACAGCAGGGTGTTTTCTTTCTCAAACTGCACAAATCGGATCCGACATGTTAAAAGCAATAGAATCTCACAAAGATTCAGATAATAGTAAATGGGGGATGACTAACCTGCTCGGTAAGATAGGTTTTCTCATGCTCATGATGGTTCACCGCATCCTGGTACTGGGTGAAAGCCTGGCTGTAAAACACTTTAGCCTGAAGCCACAAAAAGGGGCAAGTTAGAAAAATAAAGATTGGAGCAGCCCAAAGCGGCGGACGAGGTTAGCAAAAATTACCCGCTCGCAAAGTCTTCCCATATCGCCGAAAATGAATGAAGCATCAACCTCGGGACCTCCCTCGAGAACTGTCGGTGACCTCTCAAGTGCATCTCTACCTTCGACTAGTGCACCTACTCCAGAAGGCTCTTCACACGGGGCATCTTGCACTCCATGCGGCAGTATGGTCACTCCCTAAGGGGAATCAACAATGATCACAGGGCTAACAGGGCCAGTCAAAGCCTCCGTCCCTTGTTCACCCTGGACCCCAGAGTCGGGCCCCTTCGAATTGCCCACCAACTACGCCTCAACTCGGGGAGAATTTTGGCCACCAACCGACTCAGGGGTAGTGCTCGGTACTCCATCTATTGCCTCCCCACCACAAAGATAGCCCACAATGTCATCAGGATCCGGTTCAGAAGCCTCTATCCCCACGGCCCGAAGATCGGCCGAATCTATACGCTCCCACCGTCTCTGAGGCCAGAGCTGCCAGATCAACCTTGGGTTCTTCTGCCTTAGCCCTCTTGAACTCTGGAGGCCCGACCGGTAAACTCTCCTACCTTCTCTTCTTCTCGCCAGACACTAGGGTGTCCCCTTCAATGGGTGATGCCTCCTTCATCAAAAGGACTTCCTTCAGACCTATAAAAATGCAGAAAATAAACACAAAGAATGAAGAATGCTACTAATAGTGATTTGCGTCGAAGTACGCGGATGCAACAAGGTTCGAGGCTTACCATGATCTTTGGCTTCCCACCGAGATCGGGATAAATCTCGCCACAATCGTTCAGCATATGGGCAAATTGAGTATAAGCAGCCGACCTAGCCCTAGAGGTCCGAAACCGCACCAGGGTATGTTGCTATGGCTAAAAAATCAAGAAAAATAGAGTTAGATGCTTGAAGAAATATCACCAAAAAGGAGCGAAGAGAGACCCGACAACACGTTTACTTACGCCCAGTGTTCCCCTTCTCAGGGAACGACATCGTTTCCGCCAGAATCAGGTCAGAAGTCCTCATTCGGACGAATCGGCTAATCCATACTTCGTTCCCGAGCTCCTCGGCGCAGGCAAAGAGGGACCTCAGGGCTCGACGGCAAAGCTTGATTAAGCCCCCTCGGAGGAGATGGGGACTATACATCCGGATTAGGTGGTTGAGGGTGAAGGGCATCTCCTATATCATGTTTGAGTAAGGCCTGATCATATAAACAACGCTCTAGAACGAAGGATGAATTTGGCCTAGAGTTACCTGATAACGTCGATAGAAGTTGAGAATCATGTGGTCGATCAGGGGCGAGGATGGCCCCACCGGCCCCAAGGTGAATGTATAGGTGTATACACTCAGAAAGCCAACTTTGTGAGCCGTAATATCTTCCTCCTGAGCAAGAATCTCCACAAGTAGAGTATCCCCCTAGCGGCAATCAGCCCTCACTTTCCCCACATCTGTTACCGAGCTGATATACCGAGTCACGGGCTCACGACGCTCTGGCTTCGAGGAAGGTCTCTCGACCTTGAAATCGGAGGTCATCGCAAAAGATCTTGGGACACATTCCTCAGCACGAGGAGGTATAGCCAATTTGCCTTGAGAGAGAAATGAAGAGGATGAGCCCGCAACCTCCTGAGAAGCAAAGGTGGATGTTTTCGCCATCCTTAGAAGATTCTGAAGGAAGAAAAAGAGTTGTGTTCCTAAGAGAGAATGAGAGCAAAGGAAGAACGAACCTTATCAGGGGTTTGAGTACGCAATGGGTTATAGAAAGGGAGAAGGGAAGTATTTATAAAAGCACTGTGTGCGTATTGAAGGAGGCCAAGAGGCAGCCAACTGCCATAGTCAATGCGGAAACCTACAGGAGCAGCATGCATGTTGCATCTTGCCACCTCGTAGCCATCGCCGATTGCTAGAACATCGAAGGAGGAAGAAATTCAAGGTCGTTTCTTACCGTTTTCACTCTATGAAACGCGAAGACTATCTGTATGCAGTAAAACTGGGGCCCAATTTCCCCGTCATTAGGTCGCCTCACGGGCATGCTTCTCGAGGCTTGAAGCTAAGGTCGAGACCCACCATCGGGAGTCGTCGGGTACCGGCCCTGGGGGGAATTGCATGTTAACGGCTATAGTACGGGAGAGGGGAGTTCCCAAGATAAACAAATAACACTGGCAGAGCCTGGAATCGCGTCTGGCCATCTCATCTCCATACCATTGTATTTATTGCACTCTTCTACCATGTTTGAATATCCTCTTCTATATAAAGGGGATCCTTAGCACTTTCTAAACTCTGTTGTTCCAAATTTTCTACACAAGATCAATAACAACTCTCTCTCTTTTCTCTCTAACTTACTCGCTCTTGAATGCCTCTTTCATTTATTGCTTTCAAACTTGTTCTTCATTTATTGCTTGATATTGGCCATAAAGAGCCTTCTTTAATTATATCCTAACGGTTAGCCCCTTCCTAATTATCCCCGATAGCTCGAGTTCGAGCCCAGACATCGACCTCGAGGCCCCTTATTGGTTAGTCCGAGGCCCAGACAGCAAGCCCCTCAGTTCGATCACAGCTCTATTCTAGTTCGCATTTTATTTTTTATCTTCATATATCTAGCATCAACTGCTGTAACAACTAGCATAAAAATAGATCACGTATTTTTAGAGTCCCATCAACAAATTTAATTGTTATTACCATTTTCGCGGTAAACAAACCTAGTTATTTCTATACCCATTTTGATATTTGTGAGGTACAACTCAAAACCCAATTCAGTTTTTAATCATGTAATCTTATACTAAGCACATGATTTCTTTTCTTTCTCTAGAGTTGCAACTCATCAATGAATATATATGACCTACAGAGATGAAGTTTTAAGTTGTCTTTCAAGTTTCAACATTCCAGAAGAAGATCCATTTAAAATCTGAACAGTGACATCAAATTAAGCCAATCTATAAGTTGAAAATGTATTCAACATTTTTTCTCCAGTATTTAAAGCTTCAAAGCTTTTACTTTCCTCTATGCATGCAAATTATACTAAAAGTAATAAGTCATCTAATGTAGTCCTTATTAAGCATTGTATATCTAGAAATTTGAATGCGCGTAGAGGTTCAAAAGCTTCGCCTTAGTGAAGGCGTATGACAATTCATGGGTACCTTGACAGATTTACGTCGCTTTACAGTCTTTTATCGTGCTCCTTGACTTTCAGGATTGCAGAATATTTTCTTACTGCGATGCATTATTTTACCTCAATTTCCATTGCCTTTTTCAATATTCCACCTTCTTTGCCAACATCTACATTCACATGAAGATAAGTTGAGTGTGAGAGAGAAAACAACGGAAGAGTTGTGTGCACGCTATTAGTGGGGTTCGGAGAAACAATGATTGGACCTCAACACATCACCTTTGTGTTTGAGGCAATGATTCTCCTCAGTGCAAGCTTTGCATAGAGTTACAACCTCTTTCTAAATCATATCATACAACGATGAGGAAACATAAACCTCATTCCAACTTTATTTTCTCAGCAGCGTTCATATCACACTTTTTTGATGTAAAAGAATTATAGTTGGGTTCAAAGAAACAAAGCATGGACCTCAATTGATTCATCTTTGAGGCTATGATTTTCCTTATGGCATTCTTTGCATAGAACTATAACCTCTTTCTGAAGCATATCATATAATGCTTCGAGAACACAATTTTCATCTCCTCACTTTATTTTCTCAGCAATACTCAAATCTCACCTCTTCATTTCATCAACAACATTCTTACCTATCAAAAGAACAAAGTCTATTTCAACTCTTTTAAATAATAAAATCAAAAATTTCTCAAATAATCGATCATAGCAAAATTACTTATCACCGAAGGGAAATTACTTTACTGGTCATAAGCAAGATTTCTTTGAAGTAACTTTTTAAAATAGGTATGCTTTACCTGCAGATATAGAACATTGGGGCAGCCAAAAACTTTTATAACCAGCGTAATCGTCCTCCCTAGTTAGAAGCATCCAATATAGACGAAAAGTCAAAAAGAAATGAGAAGAGGAAAAAGGAAAAATAACCATTTAAGATCAAGGAAAAAGAAAAATTAATACTATACCCTTTTGCAAGCAGGAATTTGGCACTTGTAAATGAGTAAAAGTTGATTTGAGCTTCATTCAGGAATCAGAATCGTGTAGAGTTCTTGTAGTAGTAATTACTTTTGAGGTTAAATTTCATTTTAAGAAAATAAATTTCTATTCATCTAATATTTCAAATCATGCACCTAGATATCAACTTCTAAGCATGCAAATCAAACCAAAATATGAGCTTGAAAATCCAACAATAAACTACCCAGGAAAACCAAAAATCTAATATGTACCGATCAAAGATCAGAAAACAAACAATACCCAATAACTACAAAGAATGTGAAATAAATAAAGAAAATGTGAAAACCTAATTTTCAGAGATCAAAGCCTTAACTTCATAAACAAAAATCACCTATGCAAGCCTAAAAGTTTATAAATCAAATCACTATCACAGACTATCATAGAGAAGAGATCTGATATCGAAAGAGTAAAGGAGAAAAGAGGGTTTTTACCAGTATCAACATAAACAACATAGAGATCAATACTAAAAGAGAAAAAAAGAAAAATAGGTTGAGAAACTCACAAGAGGAGAAACACTCTTCAAAAATATCACAGAAAAGAGCAAGAAGTTGATTCAAAGTGAGAGTAATTGCTATCCCAAGAAAGACCCCAATTTTTTGCTTTGTATTAGAAAAGATATATGAAGTGGCCTACACGTGGTTTGCTGGTTAAAAAAGATTTACGTATTAAGTGGCCAATGAAATAAGCCCACAAATAGTATTAACATGGACACACAATGTAGTATAATTAAGAGAGCTTTCAGTATCCATATAGCAGCATCCTGTCACGACCCTAAACTCAGACATGGTCGTGATGACACCTCGCATGAAGACAAGGTCAGCTGACACAACACCCATTTTAAACCTTTAATCAATAAGAGTCATTTTTAAGCCTTTAATTAAACATATGTTTCATAATATAAGTCTAAATGAACAGTGTAGAAATAACATACAAGCCCGACATCGGGGTGTCACTAATCATAAGCATCTAGTACAACTGTCTAACTGCATCAAGACTAATATGATCTTGAAAAGTCACAATTTATACATAAGGAAGAATAAAGAGGGAGAAAGCAGAGCCACGATCGCCAGGCAACTACCTTGCTCTCTCCGATGAAACTGCCACCAAGCTCAGAAATACCTGAATCTGCACACAATGTGCAGGGAGTAACCTGAATACTCCAAACCAGTAAGTAATAAAAGTAAATAAAGTCTGAGCAGTAAGAAATCATATGTGCCACATCATGGCACCACATGTTTCAAAATAATAGGATACAAATCAAATCACTTCGTTAAACTTCCATCTTCAGTAAAATCCTTTGGAAAACATTTTTCTAACTTTTTCCATAGATGTTTAATGAAATGTATATATAGTAAAAGTGATAAAAATCATAATTAGCCCCTCGGGCAAAGCATAGCTCGTATACAGCCCCTCGCTATAACAGGAATTACAACCATTTCATAACTTAAAAACTTCAGTTTAAAAGAAAGTTATTTAAAACATTTGTTCAACATTTCAATAGAGGCTCGGTCTAAAGATGAGTGAAAGCAGTAATTAAATCAACATGTTCAATAGAAACTCACTTTAAAGAGAAGTAAAAAACAGTAAGTTCATAAACCGGCTCCTCATGCAAAGCATCACTCATGTACATGTATATATATAGCACCTCGGACAAGCCTCTCAGTCACTCATGACTCAACTCTTACTAATCAGCGCTCACACTCAATAGGTACCATATAGTAATCGCTGCGGTGTGCAACCCGATCCATATATCGCTGCAGCGTGCAGCCCGACCCATATATATAGTCAACTGCGCTCACTGGGGTGTGCAGACTCTGGAGGGGCTCCTACAGCCCAAGCGCTATATCGCTGCGGTATGCAGCCCAGGTCTATATACATATATATATTGTTGCGGCGTGCAGCCCGATCCATAAATATATAATTCTCACAACTAGGTCATCGGCCTCTCTCAGTCATTAACCTCATAATTAGACCCTCGGTCTATCTCAATCATTAACCTCACAATCACTCGGACCATCAGTAGAACAGGGAACTCACCCCAAACAGTTTTCACATTTAAAGAAGTAAAGTGATAAACCTAGATTTAAACAATAAGCAGATAAAACATGACTGGGGATATTCTTTCAAGACAAATAGAGTGTGGAAAAATAGTAAAAATGCCACTAAGGGTCTCAACAGGTCGGCACAAGGCCCCAAGCATGGCATACAACCCAAAATATAATCTAAATCTCTAAAACATGGAATATCATAAGATCTCAAATCAAATACGCGACTTAACAGTCGTACGGGACGGACCAAGTCACAATCCCCAATAGTGCATGACTCCACGCTCGTCATCTAGCATGTGAGTCACCTCAAAGTAGCACCACGATGTAAAATCCGGGGTTTCAAACCCTCAAGACAGCATTTACAATCATTACTTACCTCTATCCGGTTCAAACTCTAGCCCGCGATGCCTTTGCCTCTCGAATAAGTCTCCAATTGCTCTGAATTTAACCAAAATCAGTTCCACGTCATTAATACACGCTAAAGGAACAAAGTCCAAGCGAAAATAACCAAATTAAACTCAAAATCCAGAATTTGGTCCAACCCGACCTTGGGCCCACGTCTCGAAACCCGATAAAAATTATATCAATAGAATCTTCATCCTCCCTCGAGTTTATACATATCAGGATCATCAAAATCGGCCTCAAATGGCTCCTCAAATCCCCAATTTAACTCTCCAATTTCAAGCCCTAATTTTCACAACTCTTTCTCAAATGTTTCCCATTAATTTCATGATTAAACAATGAAATAATCACCATAAACACAAGATACAAAGCCCAAGTAGTTTACCTCTCTATCAACACTTGATTCTCTCTTGAAATCGCACAAAATGATGAACAAATGATTGAAAATCGGGAAGGAGCCTTTATATATATATATTCTGTCCAACATTTCCACATCTACGATCCCCATTACGCATCTGCGGGGCCGCATCTGCGCCAAAATGACTGCACCTACGGCTTTAACTTAAGTCATCAGTTCTCGCACCTACACCCCAGGCATCGCACCTGCGGGCTCGCAGGTGCGGTAATTCCCTACGCTCCTGTGATAAAACCCGCTTCTGCGGTTGCTCACCGCTTCTGTGAGCATCGCATCTGCGGTCCCTTATCCGCAGGTGCGGAAACAACAGAAGATGAAACATCTGCAGCAACAATTCCACTCTAAATCTTCCGTCAACCACTCAAAACCATCCTGAGGTCCCCGGGACCTCAACCAAAAGCACAAACACATCCTATACCACCTTCCAAACCTATACCAATCTTCAAAATACCTCAAACAACATCGAATCAATGAAAACATATCGGATTCAAGCCTACGTTTCCAAAATCTTCCGAATTATACTTTTGATCAAAAAGTATATCAAACCACGTCCGAATGACCTGAAATTTTGCACACACATCCCAAATGACACAACGGACCTAGTACAATTCCCGGAATTCCATTCTGACTACTATATCAAAATCTCACATATCAACCGGAAAACGTAAAAATTCCAATTTCGCCAATTCAAGCCTAAACCTTCCACGAACCTCCAAATCACATTCTGATCAAGCTCCTAAGTCCCAAATCACTTAACGGAGCTAAGCAAATCATAAAAATTCAAATTCGAAATCATATACTAACAAGTCAAAACTTGGTTAAACCTTTCAAATTTTAAACTTCAAACTGAGAACTGCTCTTCCAAATTTATTCTGATTGCCCTGAAAACCAAAACCAACGATTTACATAAGTCCATATACCTCACAAGGGGCTAGTCATGCCCGAGAACTGGCGAGCGAAGTGCACAAGCTNTGAACGATATATATATATATATATATATATATATATATATATATATATATATATATATATATTAGACACATTTAAAGAAAGTTTATTATAAATTAAAGGCAAAAAGTAAGAAAAGATGAAAAAAATAAATTACAGCTTTGGTCGCATAGTGCAATTTCAAAGGCTAACAAATGACTTAAACTATACGACACAACTGAAATGATTATTTTCTAAATGAATGAAGATAAATAAAGTAAAAAAGTATCAAATCACTTCTAAAGCAAATCTCTCCCTGTCGTTGTATCGTCATCATTAGCCGGCAATGGCGGATCTAGAAGTTACAAGGTTTCCCAAGAACTCAGTAGTTTTTGCCCAGATCTTATACATGTATCTGTTCTGATTCTCTCCACCTACGCTTAGTTAACTTTTTCTTTCTCTTTCTTCCTTTGCTTTTTCCTTTGCAACTTGTACGAAGAGTATTTCCTTTCAGAGTTGTCCAAACTATTTTTTGGACATTGATAAGATTTTAAAAATAAAATTGGATGTTAGAAGTCCTACTTTACGATCAAATTGCGTATAGGGAGTGATAATTCAAAACCATATAGTATAAATTGTTATTCAAGTGGACTAGTGGAGTACATCAAATCCATGGGTTGTTAATGAAACATGTGAAGTATTTTTTCTTTTTCTTTTTGAAACATATGTGGACACTGCATACCTTTTCTATGTTTTAGTAGCAATTATATTGGAGTAACTTTTAAGGACTAAAAATGTAATGACCCAATCGGTCATTTTGTTTATTTGGGTCTCATTCCCCTATTTGATGCTTTTTGTATATTTGCTTATCGTTTTATTACTTGCGGGGATGATTGGTTTGGCTGCAAGAAGGATTGAGAGTGAGTAGGAATACTTAGTCTCATTTTGAAAGCTTAAATTACAAGAGTTGACCAAGGTTTAACTTTTAAGTAAATGGCCTCGATTGGTGATTTGATGGTTCTAATAGGTACGTATGGTAATTTTGCACTTAGGCATGTATTCGGATTTGGATTCGGAGGTCCTTAGAAGGTTTTGGCTCTATTTGTCGAAAGTTGACAATTTGAAGAACTTGGGGAGATCATAAGTTTGACAAAGAGTTAACTTTGATATTATTGGACTCTGATTAGTGTTCCGAGACTTGGAATAGGTCTATATGATTGAAAGGAACTTGTGTGCAAAGTTTAGTTGAGATCGTATTTAAGTTGGAATCGGACGCTTAGGAGTTTTGAAGTTTATGAACTTAAGAGAAATTTTATTCGATTTGAGCCTCAATCTTTGTAGTAATATTTTCAAATGTATTTTGGGGCCTTGGATAGGTCAGGATAGTGTTTATGGACTTGTTGGTATAATTAGATTGGGTCCCAAGGATTGACTGTTGTTAGGTTGGATTTGCGATGGGCTTCGCAGACCACGGAATGGTTCTACGACCCACATATCGATTTTGCGATGGCATAGGAATTCAGATTGGACAGTTTCGCAGTGAGTTTCGCAGACCTCAAAATAGATCTGCGAGTCACATGTTAGTTTGGTAATGGATGAAAGGCTTGTGCTGGATCAATCCACAATGGATTCCACGGACCATGAAATGGATTACGCGACCACATAGTGCATTTTGCGTTGATGGACTATTTAAGACCGAATTTTGTGATTTTTTATTTTATTTCTCAACTTTTGGAACTTATTTTGAGGAGTTGAAGCCTTCACACACAAGCTTTGGATAAGTGGTTCTACACTACGTCTATGGATTTTACAAGGAATTA